CACACTATATAAGATGCAATAATAAATGTAAGAAAATGATACAAGTATCTATCTAAACATACAAGTAAGAATATTTTTCCCTTCAGAAAGAAGATAAGAACAAGAGGCTCACCACGGTGGTGTCGGTGATGAGATCGGCGCAGGTGATCGACGGCGGTGAAGACGGGGACGGGGCGTGACGGACCGCTAAATCTAGACAAATCTCGAGGAAAATGGAGCTTGGAGGTCGAGCTTCGAAGGGAGAAAGCTTAAGTAGTGTGGCTCGGGCATTCCATCGAACACCTCATGTGCATAGGAGGTGAGCTAGAGCACCACAAAGCCCTCTCCCCCTCGGCCAGAAAAAGCAGAGCACTGTGCTCTGCTCTTGCGCGAGGGGGTATATATAGGCACCTCATTGGTCCCGGTTGGTGACATGAGCCGGGACTAAAGGGGAGCCTTTGGTCCCGGTTCAAGCCACCAACCGGGACCAATGATGGTGGGCCAGGAGCGAGGCCCATTGGTCCCACCAACCGGGACCAAAAGGTCCAGATGAACCGGGACCAATGGCCCACGTGGCCCGGCCGGCCCCCTGGGCTCACGAACCGGGACCAATGCCCACATTGGTCCCGGTTCTAGACTGAACCGGGACTAATGGGCTGACCCGACCTGGACCAAAGCCCTGTTTTCTACTAGTATGTGGTCGAGATGGGTATATTTACCCACAACGGATCGGGTATGGGCATGGGAACAATTTGGAACCTGAGGTGCGGGTACGGGTACAGGTTTGGGCGAAAAATATTGTGTCGGGTACGGATTTGGGCGAACATTACCCGCAACCGAACCCGGCAGGTGCCATGTTGATCATGCATCGTCTTTTCGTGCAATCACCGGCTGAGGGTACCCTCCGCAAAGATTACTCGATAGCGCCCCCACGCAACAAGGTTGTGTCGTCGCGGCTCGAGATATTTTTCCACGGTGCTTTGCGTACGGCATTTGTTGCACAGGGAGGTGCCTGTGCGTGCTTTCCGATTTTCGGTTTTCACTTTCTGTGTTTTTTTGTTTTTCCTTTTAAACTTTAGTCCTTATATTTTTAAGTTTTTTTATATGAGTTTCATTTTGTTCCTCTCATTCGTCTTCCTCCCTCGCGCTCCTTATGTCAGCGCTGGCTACTCATATTGTTGTTTCTCCGCCTCCACCCTTCCGATGATCGTTTTATCCCTTGCTCGCAGTGACGATTGTGTTCTTTGTTGGTTAGCATTGTCTGTGTTTCTTTTCCATTAAATTTCAGGGTAATGGAGTTTTATGGGGTAATTGCAGATGGGGGCTTCCCACACTATTAAATGATAGCTTTCAACTCGATCATATTGTATATTTATTGAATCGGATATTAGTAAACTATTTTTTGTATGTTCTATGCAGCTATGTCTTGCCCTTCTTGCGGAAGATCAAGTGGTCCTTGCGCCATTAGTGATGTTTCTCTGGGTCGGCTCACTGTGGTGCTGGATGGATAGTGTTTGAGGCGTGTCATAAGTTCAACAATTTCCTTTTGGTTAAAATTGTTGCTGAAAATTATTTTTAAAATTGTTGGTCATGCATAGTTATTTGTAGTTTTTTTGTTAATGTTGTTTCGAAGAGTTAGAACTCTATGTCTTGTTTTCTAGGTTATGTTTCTTTCTGCAGTATGCTCCTGCAATGTTAGAGCTCATCTTGCTCGGTACATTGAGCATTGAAGGGTTTTAGCCATTCGGAGGGGCAACAAGGATGTTGAACTTGCCCTTCACAACCGAGGATGTATTATATTGGGTTCTTTTCAGGCATGGTGAAGTCAGCAGCAAATTCAATTGTCCTACCTGGAAGGAACTAGTCACATATTATGATCTTTGTTGTCATGATACAATGACTGATAGAATTGAGCACTATGGAACGGTTCTTGGTGTTGATTTTAATCGTGGTGGAGATTTTTTGTCGCCTTTACCCGGGTAAGTTGTTAGTTTTATTTTTTATTTTTTAAACAATTATTACCGTAGCTGATATGTTTCTTGATGGACACTTTTTCCTCTTGTTAGAACCTCTTTTGTAGCTCTCGAGGGCTTGAGTGAATCTGAAAGGGACCTTGTTGGCACCTGTTTTTACACTTATGGGGTCAATCTCAATTATCAGCAGATGTTTTGTATGTCAAGTTCTATTTTTGCTGACAGCTACATATTGTGTCGTCCTTTTATGCACGAGCTTAGTTCTTATAATGTCAATCGTCCTGTCATGGTCAGTTTATTATTTTTTCAATTTCTATTTTGTTAACTTAATCTCTATATAGTAAAAAAATCTAGAATTGTGCTTCTTCAAATAATTCCAAACCTTGTGGTACCAAGTCTGAAGAATTTTGTGCCTGTTCCTAGTTCTGACATTTTAACCCTGGTAGTTAACTTGGAGTATTATGAGGGATGATGTCTATGTGAGTATTCCTTCTTCCCACTTCATCATTTCGGGTGGAAGAATGGTGTTGAAGAAGCAAGGAATTTAGTGAACTTCTTCAAGCATCATCTCAGCAAGAAAGCATCTTTGTGCTTAAAACCTTCACAGAGGTTGATGGGATGCTAGCCGTTATCTTCAGCCTCCTGGCGCAGTGATGCGACTTATAGTTCTAGACTATGAAGGATAACCATTATGTGATTTATAACTGTATCTTGCGGGTGTTTTAAAGTTATTTTTGATGTATTTTGCTATGGCACTTCAAATGGTACCTCAGATGTTGTTTACGATGATCAAACAAAGTTGTGGTTGTTTTCAGCTATTTCTCGTTCTATAATTTCAGACTGTGTTGTACGTTTGTTTTTCTTTGAGTATCTTTGTCTATATTTTTGTTGAAACTTTAGAGTTCTGTTCCGCGGCACATAAAGCTGAACTATTCCTCATTACATGTGCTTCTTGTGCACATAGAATTGTGCCTCTGCTGGAAACAGAACTGTGCCCCAGCAGACGCTGATCTATGCTTCCGGTTACATTTTACCCGGACTTTGTTGGGGAGCACATGATGTGCTTCTTTCATCTAGAGGCACAGATCAATGGTTCTCGAGGAGCACATGCAATGCTTCCTTTGTTAGTTTTGGAGGCGTAGATCAACTGGTACATGGGTGGATCCGGGGTGTCCGTCGCATACGTGGCAGCAATTTGGACGCCTGGAAAGCCTCCTAATTTGTGGAAAAGCGGACATCCAAGACTGGTCTGCGGGCAGATGGGGTACCATATTGGATAAAAATCACGTCTAGACCGTCATGCGGTTATGTGGTCACCATTGGAGATGCCCTTACTTCCACACAACAGCAGTGTGAGCAACTCCTCCCCGTCTCCCCGTGTTCCAGCACCCCCGCCTTTCTCCCGGTCTCTCTTCTCTTTGTCGCTGCCGTCTCCCGGTCTCGCTCCTCTACCAAGCTCTATGTTTTGGTAGCGTATTTTTCAAACGCCCATGTGAGCCCCGTCTTGCCAAGCTCACCGCCTGCCTGTCGTGCTAACCACGAGGCTCCATCCGGGTTTGTTTCAGATCTAGTTTTTTTAATCAAAAAAGGCTTTCCCTACTTTGTGTATAAAGCAGCGACCAACATATCTAATACAAATAAACACACGCACACACCCAAAGCAAGACACTAAGTCATTGACAAACAACCATACCATCCTAACAACTCCAAACAGACAAAAGATGAATAATAGATAACACTATGGAGTCCATGAAGCCCTCGCATACGGTCAAGCCATCGCGAAAAGGCGAAGCTGAACGTCGACGAGGCATAAGCTCCGAGGCGATGCCTTCAGAAAAGCCACGGCATCGAAGCACCGCCACCGTCCGTACAATTTTATCCCCACAACCAACCGAGCCTTCAAAAAGGGGACGACCCCAACGGACGCCGAACCACGAGCTCCGCCCACGAGCACAATGGCTCCCTCCACAAGGGTCGCCGGCTCGCCGCCCTGCATCCGGACACCCGAGAGCCCAGATCCCATCCATGAGCACGACCTTGCATTGATCGGCGTGGCCCGAGCATCGATGGCGCCGCCAACAACCGGCTTGACCAAAATCGACGCCTGATCTGGTACTGGAACCAAGGGACACCAGGCCGAGGAAAGGGAGAGGATAGGGAGTGGACGACGTCCACGACCGGCGCCCCCTGAATCGGCGGACCAGCTATTCATACCTGCGGCGTTTTCCGCTCCATGTTTTTGCTCTTTCTTCCTTAAGTTCCCACCTTCGCTTCTCTGTATCGCGTCTTGAGATTCCGTCTTCCCTTCTTTGCTTGCTGCCGCCGCCGCCCCCTGATAATGCAATTCGAGTCGGGATCCGCCAAGAACTCGATCGGACATTGGTTCCTCTCCGACTCAGTTTGAATCGGGATCGATCCTCCAAGAACTCCTGCCGTTGTCGCTTTGTATATATTTGTATAAATAACGAGCGTGCTTGTCGCCTTCCCCTGCACGAGCTGAACTGACCGGAGTTGGCAGATAAATCAGTTTGAGCCCAAAGCCCGACTACTTTAATTGAAAGTTCATCCGTTTGCATCTCAAGTTTCTTCCTGTATATTGCAGTTTCATTGAAGAAGTGAAGCAGCATGTCCCTTGTCAGTCGGGTGCCTATGGATCTACCGTCTGACCACGATGTGAGTTTATTTTCTACTCCAGTTTACTGCTTTACTCTTTCACTTCGCCATTAGAGTGAATGAAAATCAACAGATTGATTATGTACATATCATCATCATCATCAAAATAAGTTTTTCCTGCTAGGATCTGATTGTTTGGATTCGTAGGCTGATGACCAGGTCAATTGTTTGGATTCCTGTGAAGCAACAAAGAAGCTGCTGGCAACGGCAAGTGCCATCAAGGATCTCCGCCTCATCTTCTACCTTGCAGACTCATCTCACCTGCACAACATTGGGCAGGCTGTTGGCAATGTCGTCCAGAGTGGGAACATAGAGTTTCTTGAGTTCAGCATATGGCCTGAGATCAGAGGTACTATATGCACCGACGAACACCTGATGACGTTTGGCCGGCGCTTGATGTCTTTCTTAGATGCCTGCCCCAATACATTCAGATGGCTTAACAGCATCATCCTGCGTAATCTTCAATTTGGTGAAGCAGACATGCCAACCATATTGAACACATGCGAGAAGCTGCAGGCTCTGACCCTGCACTCGTGTCAGGTGAGCCAGCTAGATTCTGTACTGAAGATGGATGCACCTAGCTCCCAGCTAATTGCACTAAATTTTATAAAATGCTACTTTGAACATGTTGAGTTGGTCTGTCTCCCTCAGTTGGCTAGTCTGGTCTATGATACCTGGTTGTCTGTTGACCCTCCAGTGCGATTTGGCTATGTCCCACGGCTCCATTACATAAGAGTTGCCTCCGCTCTATTGTTTTGGCAGACACCATTCACATTGAGTGGGTGTTTATCTAACGCCAGGAACCTTACAATTCTTCATTTGGATTTCCATGATGAAATGGTATGCATTCTCTATTTGAACATGTCTCTGATATATTGATTTTATTTTACTCGTTGATTAAACTGGTTTCTTTCATTTCTTCTGATGCAGGTTTGGTTTCAACCTGAACATCCTAAAAAGCTTGTTCCTGTATTCAGTAATTTAAAAGTTGTATATCTGTATAATATTTTTGCTGACTGTGACCTTAAGTGGACTTTATTATTTCTTGAAGCCGCGCCTTCCCTCGATAGCTTTTATGTCAAGGTATGATTTTTGGCTCAACGACCCCCTTTGTACCTGCAAAAAACCAGTGTCACTGCAGTATTTTACTAGCAAATCAGACTTGGTATTTTTGTATGTTTGGATTGCTGGGATTTGGAGTTTAAAGGCTGACTAGGCATTAATAAGGAAAGGAAAAGGAAACCTAATCGATAAGGTCCTGACGCTGAATGCATGTCCGGACAATCCTATTATTGTCATTAAGACATATTGAAATAAACGGTTTGTTTCACTTCTATGCAGACTCTAATTTTTGCCTACATCTATTGTAGATATCACGTCATATGTGTGGACGATACAAGCATGCATGTATTGATAATGCTAAAAAGACTAACGTGCTGTGGGAACCATCAGATTTCAAGCATTACAATTTAAATCTATTCGACATTAAAGGTTTTGAGAAGGAAGAGAAGCTGATAAATTATGTAAAGTTTGTAATGGAGCGAGCTGTGGCTTTGAGGAAAATTCATCTGCATGATAAGGAGAATTGTAAACAGTGTGGCTGTATAAATAAGCAGGCTCCATCACCAATCAGTTCCAAGTTTCCAAATAACGAGGGAGAGAATAAGTTAATACGAAGGCTGCTCGCCAATGGATCTTCATCATCACCCATAGAGATCGTTATAAGATGATGTTGTTAATAAGTCAATTGCACATGTGCTTGCAAGACAGTGCTACACCTTCTATGATGTAGACTAAAGCTGCACTTGTTACTAGACTGTTCTATGTTCAGTATTCAAAACTGAAATATTGTAAAACAACTATGTTAATATTTCAAAGTATATTGCTGGATGAAGTATATATGCACTTGCACTGTATCTATCTTTTTTTATCGATAATTAACCACTGCAGATTTGTGAACCTCCTGGAGGGCATGGCCTGTTCAAATGATCAAGCCTTTGTGAGCTTTTTAAGAGTTGGTTATCAAAAGAAAAATGGACTGTTAAGAGGTGTATATAGTATTTTTCATGTATCAGTTGTGCAATACCCTCAGACATTGTTTGGATGTCGACATTGCTGAGATGAATTATGTTGTTTGGATGGTAATCCATGACATTGATATTGAGATTGAACCTGAATTAGGTTTCAAGCAATTGACACTTGGAATGAATTATGCTGTTTGGATGTTCAAGCACTTGGAATTTGGAGGAGAGACCAATCATTATGCTTGTTTGGATGGTCATCGATTGGAATTGCTCATATGTATGAGAATGAACATTGTACTTTGCTGTAATGTTTTAAACTAAAGTCTGTACACCATGTAACTTCAAGATTTTTTTAAAACATGCTAATAAGATTGGAAAATGTTCACATGAAAACAATCATGTTAAAGAAATAATGCAAAAATGAGTCAAATTTAAAGATACAACATGGGTCTTTCGACCAAGATTCAACTCATATACCTTAAATAGGTAAAGAATACAAATGTCTTAAGAAGGCTTAAACAAATGCAAAAGACGTCCATATCCCTACTCAGCCCGTTGTCTGTGGGCTAACCAGCTAACGCCGTCCATCAACAAATGTACTTTTCGAACTACTACCGGCTGTATTGGCGGCAATCAAGGGAAAAGAGTAAATTGAGCAAGGTGAGTACTCAGTTGTACTCGCAAGACTTAATTACCGTAGACCTGCACTATTTATGCATTACGTATCAAAGGGGATAAGTGCTTAGCGGCATCAAACACTAGCACCTATAGAGACACGCTACAACTTACGGCTACCCGAGATAAGGAAAGAGAGTGTGTAAGAACGATCTACAGAACAAAATGAATTAGGTAAATTAGCATGAGAGGGTATAGTTTTGGTCCTCTCTATGAGTGTCCTATTCATTCTGTCTACAAGATCATTGAGCTGGGGTGATTTTGGTGGACTCTTCTCAAGTCGGTTGCATACTCTCTGTAGTACCTTTCAAAAGGACCTTGGTACTCACCACTGTTGTCTGATCCCATCACACACGCTTCAATTTCCTGCTAGTTTTTATTTCAAGTTTGCATGAAACTTCTTGAAGGCTTCGAGTGTTTGGTTCATGTGTTTTGGTACATACACAAAAATCTTTCTGGAATGGTCATCAGTGAAAATCATAAAGTATATTGATCCACATGGGATTCATTCATGAAACAAGCATTAGTGTGCATAGTATCAAGAACATTTTCTACGCGGTATGAAGGGTTGTACCAAAAGCAACCCTATATTGTTTGCCAGCAAAACAATGTGCACAAGGTTTCAAGCATATACCTTTCAACTCGGGGAGGTACTCAATGTGATCAAGAGTGTGCATGTCCTTCTCACTCATATGCCAAGCCTCTTGTGCCAAAAGTCAGCTAAAGTCTACTCAACAACGTTAACACCTCATTGCATAATTTGGTTTTGATCACATAGAGAAAAGCTTTGCCTACCTCCTCGAGCCATGACCAAAGATCCTTTGCTAAGCTGATACGTCTTAGACGCGGCTACTTTTCTAAATTCTTTTGATATGTTTTTGTCCTCTAATTTGCATAACTTGAATGAAAAGTGGGACACTATTTTCAGCAAGATTTCGTTGGTGTTATTGTTTTGTGCAGAAAAATGTCCAATAAATTGTGAAAAAAATACTACTCCCTCCGATCCATAATAAGTGTCGTGGTCTGAGTTCAAATTTGGACTAAAACCACGGCCCTTGTGATGGATTGGAGGGAGTAAATTTTTTGGGTAGAAAAGAGCCACAAAGGCAGAAGATGGAGGCAAGGGGGCATCTTCAGGGCCCATGCAGCCATGCGCCGCAAGGGGAGGGCGCATAAGGCCCATAGGTACCGCCTCTCGACGCACTTTGGCCTATATTTATTATTTGTCCTGGAACCCTCGATGTGATTTTACAAGATTTTCTGTGACACTGAGCCGCTGTCACCATAGATTATCTTCCTAGAGGGGTGTGTGGAGGCTAATCTAGACTCCAGAGAGGGGGATTCTTCGCCATTGTCATCACCAACCTGTTCTCCATCACTACTACAGATCTAAATAGCATTAATCGGCTAAATAGTACCTACCATAGTGACGCGTGAGTGGCCAGCCATCACCAACCTCTTCTCCTTCACTACTACATATCTAAATAACACTAACCAACTAAATAGTATCGTCACTTACGCTCAGGGGCAGTAATGAAGTTTTCATAAAATACGAGCTATTTGGTTGGTTAGTAATGTTCCACGCCACTAACTGGTTGACCCATTGCTTCCTCTCAGTTAGGAAGTTGTTGGGCCCCCAAGTGCAAGGGTTTGCAAAGTGGAAAAAGTAAAAGTAAGGAATTAAAAGAAAGTAAATTGATATTGAAAACTTTATGGAGAAAAGATGGACCGGGATCCTTATATTCATTATTAGTCTCTCTCAAAACATAAGCAACAGTGTGGTGAAAAAATTACAGTTGGGAAATGATTAAATTGCAATATTTATGAGTATGAATATTCATGGCATAATTAACGTATGAGTATCATGTATATAAATCTATAGACCATAATCCTACTGCGTCTGTAGCTAATACTCCACCCCAACGCCGCTATACAGCATGCATCTCAAAGTATTAAGTAAAATAGAGTATTGCAATAAGTACAGTGACATGAAGTAGATGATATATTGTATTCGCTTTGCATTCAAAGGAGAACTACATAATCATTTTTTTATCCTTAGTGGCAAAAACACAATACAAGCCTTTTCTACTTTCTGTCACTATAGTAGATTACTTGCAAGGTTGAAACCAACTACCATATACACAACTCCCTTTGAAGATAAAACCGAAAACTTGGTCATAGAAAGAGAGAATAGATCGGAGAGCACATATGAATAAAAATTACTCGGCAATGAAACTAAATAGATGTAAAGAAATCATGAATAGATCTGATCATAAAGGTGATAATTCATCATATACCAACAAACACACCTGGAAAATTACATCAGATGGATCACAATCATGTAGGGTAGCTCATGTCATCGTTGTATTGAGAAATGAGGGAGAGAGAGAGAGAGCTAGCTACTACTTATGGACCCAAAATCCAAATAAAACTACTCACGTCGATGATGAAGGCCTTCAAGTTGATATAGATGGCCATCGAGAAGATTTTTCCCCTCCGATAGAGTACCAGAAAGGCCTTCAGATTGGATCACGACGAAATAGAGGTGTGCGACGGCTAAAGAATTAGGGCGTAATAATACCGAGGATTTTGGGAAGTATATGAAGGCACAGAGACCGAGAGGCGATAGACCAGAGCATCAGGGGCCCACACGGCAGGGCCACGCCCCCCGCTCCCCTCGGCTCGTGGGAGTGGCGCATGGGGCCCATAGGTATATGCATTCTTTCATATTTTTTGTATTTTTTTCTTTCATGTTTTTATTTTGCTTACATTATTTTATTTTATTTCAATTTTTATTTTCGTGAACATTGTTTAAACTTGCAAACATTTTTTGAAATTCATCAACATTTTTCAAACCCAGGAATAATTTTTAATTCATGAACAATTTTGGAATTCACGAACAAATTTTCAAATTCGTGAATAGTTTTTGAAATGACAAACTTATTTTGAATCCATGAACATATTTTCAGTTCATGATTTTTTTATTACATGAGCAATTGTTTTGAATTTGTGAACTTTTTTAAAAATTAATGAACAATTTTTCGAATTTCAGGAACATTTGTGGAATTCACAAATATATATTTAAATCATGAACATTTTTAAACTTGTGACACTTTTTTAATTTGTGAAAAATTCAAACTAGCGAACATTTTTTGAATTCCATAGCATATTTGAAATTCATGAATATTCTATGAAATTCGGTTTTGTTTGAAATCGGGAACATTTCTTAATGAAGTGAAAAAAGCTTAAAGGAGAACAAATTGGGGTACAAGAAATATTATTTGCACATTTTTTTGTACGCATATTTCTAAATTTTTTGTATGCACATTAAAAATTTTGTGTATGTAAAAAATATAGGTTTATTAAAATTTTAATCTTTTATTTGGGAAATGTAAAATGTATACAGTAAATTTTCCTATGTATACAAAAAAATGTATGATGTGTATGAAAAAAGTAGAAATTAAAACAATATGATTTAGAAAAAAATGTTAATCATGTATTTGATTTTTTTAACGTGTGAATAAATAATGTTCCTAATGCATATGAAAAATGTACAAAGGAAACTAAGAAAACAAATTATAACCAAAAAAGGAATAACATAAACAAAGAAAAACAAAGAAAGACAAACAAAAATCAATAAGAAAAATAAGAAGAAAATAAAATAAAAACCGGTAAAAGCAATGAATAATAGGTGAAAAACAAAAGAAAACTATGAAGAAACAAAGAAAACCTAAAGTAAAGAAAAGAAAAAAGAAAAAACGAAAAGAATGAGCGAAGCGCAGCTGCAGTGAAGGAGGGAACGAAAATGGGCTTGCTTTGTAATATAGCACGCATGAAAAGTCTTCAGGCGAGGGGAGCATATCCGCGAGGTATCATGCGCCGTCATTTCGCCTTGCGCCCACGCGCGCGCACACAGAGATCGTGGCAGATAGCTTTGCTTGAGGAGGAGGCCAGATCGCAAGGGACACATCTGCGCACCTGAGCTCAGCGGCGGACCAGCGCTGCGTCTCATCTGTGGAGGTGAGTGTTGT